CCGTTGATAATTTTCCCTGGGCTCAGCGGTTTGAGGGGAAAGCCTTCCTAGCAAGCTATTTCGTTTGTTTCCCCCTAAGTTCTTCAGCGATTAAAACCACATAAAAAACTAATTTCAAAAACTAAGCATGTTCACTTTAGACTACTACCAGCTTGGGCTTTCTGAAAGCGTAAATAAAGAGCTGTAAATTTGAGTCCTTGCAGACCAGGAATAATGAACAAGAAAAAGCCAGAAAAGCGTCTGCAAAGAAAAATGATACTTCTAGCATAGTGTAGCTGAGCACTATGAGAAAAGCACACAGACTGTTAGATGAACTACCTCCTTAATCATAACCAAAAGTGGATCAAATTTGCTGAGCTTCCTTGTGGAAATAAGACATCGGTTGTGCAATATGATCTAATAGTCATCAGTATGAATGATAAGACCGGGATACATATCACATCAAATATTGGGAAGCTAATAAAAGAAGAGGTGGTTTTCAAACCTTGATTTTTTTTTTCACTTTTCCTGTAAAGTAAATAATAAATCAATCAAAATAAAGATGAGGCAAGCAACCTAATAGTCAATGTTTTACCTCAAGCTGAGCACAAGGTACACCAAGACCATTTGCATGGTCTCATTGATTGTGTCTGGCACAGAGGTGCCTAAATATGGGGGTAATTGAAGTTGAAGTGGAGCCTATAGTCCCCTTGCCAAGGCTGCACCTTGGTGTGACACTACACTGATGGGGCAGAGGAAAGTTTACCTTTTCCTAATTCACACAGGCAACATACAAGAACACCAAGCCTAGCACCTGCCATAGGGGGCACCATTTTCTAATTCACAAGAAGGGAACATATAGGTTAGTGGCAGCCCTGAGGCAAAGCAAAGTGAATGCTAAATATTACATTTGAATAGTCAGTAATATTTTCTTTAGAAGCCTCATCAGTATTGTCAACAAATAGCCATGTCAAAAAATAATGAAAGTTTTCATGAAAATATGTTTTAATTCTGTATCTTGTGCCAGAATATCATGGAGTTCTATCAAGTGAGCGATAGCGTTCTTGCCTTTAGTCCACATTGTTTTGCTCTGTAGATACACCATAGTTCTGCTGGCTGAGAAAAGACTGGGCTCAGGATTAGTGACTGGCAAAATGGTCCTCTGACGGAGCCTACTAAATGTGACTAAGGCCATCCACTTACTGTGATGATTTTTTCAGCTGATAATGTAGGTGTCTCCTTGAAGCCCAATCCAGTTGAGATCATAGGTACAGGCTGTCAAAAGGAGTCACAAACACTATCAAAGTGGCATTTCTTATATATTTTCACAGATTCACACTTACTGTGATGATTTTTTCAGCTGATAATGTAGGTGTCTCCTTGAAGCCCAATCCAGTTGAGATCGTAGGTACGTGCTGTCAAAAGGAGTCACAAACACTATCAAAGTGGCATTTCTTATATATTTTCACAGATTCATTCAGGTTTACTCAGGCTTCTCAACACAATATCCATAATCCAATATTTAAAGTTACTCATTAGAATGGTTTAATATTCAATGGGATATTAAAACATAATTAATTGAATGTGATACATTTCTTAAGGGTAATTTTACTTAAAATAAGGCCTGGACATACTATATCCTTTGAACCAGCAATTCCTTACAACCTCCTGGCTACATCTACTCCCATAATACTGACCTTTATTTAGTCCTTTGCTCTAGCATGTTTCCTCCTGCTCTCGAGCCTCTACCTACCGTTCCTTCTCCCTGTGATCCTCTTCCCTTCTCTCTTCACCTGATTATTTTCCGCTCATCCTTCACATCAGTGAAGTCTTCCATGATTTCCCTAAATTAACTAAATCCTCTACTCTAGGTCCCCATGAAACCCTGTATCCTCCTTATTGCAGTGATTGTTGCAGTAGTTACTTTAACATTCTTTCTGTGTGGCTCTTTGATTAATGCCTGTGACTTCCACATAAAGAAGTATAGATCTGTATCCCCAGAACCTCACCCAGGGCTCAACACCAAGAACACATTCTGCAACTGTTATGGACTAAATGTTTATGACCCCCGAAATGCACATGTTGAGGCCCTAACCCCCAATGCGATGTGTATTTGGAGGTACAGCCTTTGGGAGGTAATTGGGTTTAGATGAGGCCATGAGGTTAGGGTCCCCATAATGGGATTAGTGTCCTTATAAGAAGAGGAAGGGAGACCAGAGCTCTCTCCCCACACCACCCCACCCACCACCACCACCACCACATGAAGACACAGCAAGAAGGAAGCTGTCTACAAGCCAGAAAGAAGGCCTTCACCAGGAATTGAATCTGCTGGCACATTGACCTTGGACTTCCCAGCCTCTAGAACTGAGAGAAACATATGTCTGCTGTTTAAGCCACCCAATCTATGGTATTTTGTTATAGCAGCCTGAGCTAAGACAGCAACTATTTATTGATGGACAATTGCATGCATGTGTAGAAGGGAGAAAGGGAGGAGGGAAAATTTATCTGAACGAAATAATCAGATACATGTGAGAAATTTAGCTATCAGAATATCTATCAGACCAGTAATTATAATAACAATACCCTGGAAATCAATGCTTCTAGTATCCATATTCTACTTAGCCTCTTCTAATGAAACCTGACAGTTAGAGAGATGGCCCCAGCATATTGTCAAACAAATGAAAAAAATTATAAAACAGGGTACACTGCATGGATCCCATTTTATTTTGAGAAAAGCATAATAGAAAGACACAAATGTTCATAATAATCTAGAACAAGAACCAGTAGACATTGACACATTAACAATAGCTATCTTGGAGTAGTAGAAATCTGGATACTTTTTTTTCCTTTTAGTTACCCATATTTTCTCATTTTTCCACAATTAGCATGTGCCACTTGTGTATACCATATGTTGGTTTCCTCCCACTCAGGCTCTGTTTTTTTCTGACACCCAATTTGAGGCAGATACAGCATCTCTCTGCATTCTCCAAAAAGAACCTAATCAAACCATGAACTTTGTTGAGCAATGTAAGTTCTGTGGAAGTTTTTATGTGAAAGAGAGGATGCTTTCATTTCAGTGCCCACAATGTTTATCTCCAAAAAATCCCCACAAGACATTTTCATGTCTTTTCCAAGTAACCAGTGGATTTCCCTCTCTCTCATCTCTTTCTGCATGTAGCTCCCAGTCTCCTGGTCCTTTGGCTCAACTCCAGATCCTAATTCATGTAAATATAGAGTCACTTCTTTCCTCTTCATGAAATCACATCCTACCCCCACAACTTTCTCCTTCCCCACATCTGGCTGAATACAACTTCTTCTGAGCTAAGGGCATATTTCTTCAGTTAAAAAAAATTCTAAAACCAGCTGCTGAGAAGACAAAATTTCATCCATATTGTTGCACATAAACAATAAAAATTAAACCATAATTATCTAAAGATGAAAAAGTTCATGTGCAATGTATTATTTTCCCACACGATACTCTATCAGTCCCTAGTGAAGAATATCACTAGCTTTTAAAGCTGAAACATTTCGATTAAGATCAGAAGAGTCAACCACAGCCTGATCTAAGATGCTGCTGATCTTTGAGCAGCATTATCCCATCGCACATTGATCTAGTTATCAAATTGCCCATCATGCTCTAACTGTTGGTTTTCAAATTCTCGGGTCTGGTAGAACTCTGAAAAACGTGATTCTTGGCAGGATTTTAGGGCATCTTAAAAGGCCTGGCACAAAAACAAACAAATGTTATCTACCAGGACCCCATCATCTTAAGGAGTCCCAACTGTTGCTTTCTGACAGTTAAAGACTTCACAAGACCCAATACGAAACCGCAGTTCTTGGCAAGTGAGCAGAAACCAGAAGGGGGATGGACAAGTTCTAAAGCAAATTCCAACAATTCCAAGTATAATTAACCCCGATTTTCATCTGGAGCTTCCATGTATAACCAAAGGCAGAATTCCTTTCCTTTTTGTAAACAATAATAAGAGCTAACATTTGTCAGTTTCAGTAATGATACTTTTCCCTTATGAAACTACTTCAACATGCCAGTCCTGTTCTAAAAGCTTAGTGTGGATTATCTCATTCAATTCTTCCAATAGCCCTACCTACATCATATAGACACTGTTCTTGTCCCTACTTTAGTGGAAAACTGTGAACAAGGGTTAAATAACCTGTTCAAATTCCCACAAAAGTGGTGGAGGCTACACTTGAAACTATGGCTGACGTCAATCCATTCTCCTAAAACCTTTGCAACAGCCCTATTTCCCCTATAAACTTAAATCTTCTTTGCCTTCATTTTAGCATACAGCTAGAGAGAATTATATGACATCCTTACAACAGATGCGCTAATATTACATACTTGCACAAAAGGTTTTCTGTTGTTTTGGCCCAATCATTTTTTCAAATGTCCCCTATTAGTTAGCAGTTAAACATCTGTGTTCCCAAGTGGTTGAGACAAACACCATCACATGTGTTTCAGCCCTAATATTGTAACTACTAGAACAGAAGTAGAGTGAAACTAATTTCAAGGACTGCCATTATGAAAAATATTAATATTGTACTGTTCCACAGTCCTGGTCTTCTGAAATTAAAACTATCATATTACACATTTGGTAGAAATTGGCATATAACTAGATAACAGCACAAAATTGCAATTTTCCTAAAACATTAGGAGAAAGTATATACTAGTATTTTGTCCTTTCTTACTAGTAGAAGTTCAAAATATCTTTAAAATTATTTGTCCTTTAAAATCTATTGTTAAAATATAAAGGAAGAATATATGATTTGTTCTTCAAGACAGAACTTTATGGACATAAAAGTTCTCATCTTTCCATATAAACATGCAGAAATTTTCTTTCAGGTCAGATTCAGTTAATCCTCATCGTGTCTTTAAATGAGAGCCATTTGTAATTCAGCAAAAAAAAAACCATGAAGGTACAATGAAAGTGGTCAGATTTTTTGGTTTTAATTTTCAAGTACAAAATTGAGGATAAAGATCGCGGGCGCGACGCCCCGAGGGACGGTCAGGGGGCTGGCTGGCTGCGAGTTGCGGCAGCGAGACCGGCCGGGAAGATGCCAGTGGCCGTGATGGCGGAAAGTGCCTTCAGTTTCAAAAAGTTGCTGGATCAGTGCGAGAACCAAGAGCTCGAGGCTCCTGGAGGAATTGCTACACCCCCAGTGTATGGTCAGCTTCTAGCTTTGTATTTGCTCCATAATGATATGAATAATGCAAGATATCTTTGGAAAAGAATACCTCCTGCTATAAAATCTGCAAATTCTGAACTTGGGGGAATTTGGTCAGTAGGACAAAGAATCTGGCAGAGAGATTTCCCTGAGATTTATACAACCATCAATGCTCACCAGTGGTCTGAGACGGTCCAGCCAATCATGGAAGCATTGAGAGATGCGACGAGGAGACGAGCCTTTGCCCTGGTCTCTCAAGCATACACCTCAATAATCGCCGATGACTTTGCAGCCTTTGTTGGACTTCCTGTAGAAGAGGCTGTGAAAGGTATATTGGAACACGGATGGCAAGCGGACTCCACCACCAGGATGGTTCTGCCCAGAAAGCCAGTTGCAGGGGCCCTGGATGTTTCTTTTAACAGGTTTATTCCCTTATCAGAACCTGCTCCAGTTCCCCCAATCCCCAACGAACAGCAGTTAGCCAGACTCACTGACTATGTGGCTTTCCTTGAAAACTGATTTCTCATTCTGTGTTCAGGATCCCACCATCAGAATCCTGTATACTGACAAATATAGATACGTAAAATTTTTATTTTCAGTTTATTGGATGGATTAAGCACCTCAGCATTCATTAGTGAGTATGTGGTAAAATAACATATATAATATAAAGCATATTATATATATTTTGTCCTTAAACATTATGCTGAGTAGTTGTCGAAATAATTCTCATTTTGTGCAAAATTTAATAATTTGGATGGAGCCCGTTAGTATTGGGCAGTCAGTTTATATTCGCTGGTGGCTGAGAACGTTAGCTCCCCTGCTTCGTGTGGAACAGTGGTTGTCAGCCATCCTTCCCTGCCCCAGCACACACCACATCCCATCTGCACCACTGGTTGATAGTTGTAGTGATTCATTGGAGGTTGAAGGAGGACTTAAGATTCGGGGCAGAACCTGAGTTGCTGCGATTGTGATGTACCCTCTTTGTGGAACATGCTCTCTTTTCTCCCCACCTCCTGCGAATCACACTGAGGAACGCAGAAGCATAGCTGAGAAACAAGTAGACCGTTGCTTTAGTAAACCAGTTAGTGAACTTTAGATGTTTTATGATAGCGTGAGTACATCCATTGCTGGCAGTGGAGGGCTTGCCATGGAAATGCAACTTATTTAAGACATTCATGAAAAGTATTAAGTTGTAATGTCTCCTTTCAGAAGAAGGGAAAAGTTAATGTGGAATGCATTGTATGGGAAAAGAAGCCATTGACATAAGTGATACACTTTGTACAACTATCCTGCAGCCTGTTGGTTGCTTCTGTTTGTCCCTTGATTCAAGTTCTACCTTTTGAGAAGTACCGAACAAGTGACAGCCCTCTGAATATTTGAAGTTGTTTATTGTATCTTCAGGTTAAAACACTCTTTCGTTCATTTATTCTTCATTTGTTCAATAAATATTTAATTGAAAAAAAAAATTGAGGATAAAATTTAAAGAGTATTTTAGTTACTATCCAAAGTCTTGATTTTGAGTATGAAATATGCAAAAATAAATTATGAAGAAAACTCTTTTTTGTATCCTAATCAGTATCCCTGAATTATCATGTATGGTTTCATGGTGTAAAATATTAGATGTCCACGGGTACTTTTTTAGAGAATCCTGTTTCCTGCATCCTTATTAGTAGGACACTCTGCCATCAGTCCAACCCAAGTTCCAGTCTCAGCTCCACTGTGCACTAGCTGTGTGACCCTAGGCAAGTTTCATAACTTCAGCTTCTGTGCTAGTGAACTAGGGATAATTATGAAGTGTAGATTGAAAGGGGTATCTGTAAAGGTAAAAAGCCCAGCTTGGTGCCCAGTACACAGTAGGCACTTAATATGTAGCAGTTCTCATGACAATTATCAATATTCCGGTAGCTTCTTCCCAGGCATCTTACTGCCCAAAGATGAATGTGACCCATACAGTCCAGCTATAGCTCCACCCCTCTGACATACACAAAGTTATGGTCATTTATAGCCATGATCATCTGCATGATGTTTAATAAGCCCCTTGGGTCCTCCCTGAAACTCCAAATTTCCCACCATCTACATCAGTCTTTGGGGTGAAAGTTCTATCTTAGGAAGGCCTCTAACACAGTGCAAATGTCTGGGATACCACCTTAGCACCTATTAATACTGGCTCAAAACTTTACATTACCTAGCTGTCATGTGGCAAAGGTTCTTGAAAACAAGGAACACAGGACACATGAGTTCTGATGAGGGAAAGGGTCAGGGAAAAATACTGAGCAAGAGGTGACATCAAGAGAACACAGATCTGAAGGGTCTGGATGCCCATCGTTGTACATGCAAAAGAAGAGGAACCTTGTTTCCTACCTTATTGACAGGACTCAGGGGTGCCAGCATCACCAGCCTGGCTCTCCTGCCAATGCTGAGTCCTTCAGACTTGCATTCATTTTCCCAGTACACGCGGACCTTATTATCAACAATTATACCTTATACAGTTCTTTGGAGTAGTGCTTCCGAAACTGTTTATGTGCCTGCAAATTGCCTGAAGACCTTGGTCAAATGTAGAGTCTGATTCAGTAGGTCTAGGGTGGGGCCTGAGATTCTGCATTTCTAATCATCTCCCAGGTCTGCCAATGATGCTGGCCCAAAGTTTACAGATCATTGTCATGGTGACCTCATGGATCTTTGCAACAAACCAGTGGCAAGGGAGGCAAGTAGTTTATCTCTGTTTTACAGGTGAAGAGACCAAGGTGCATGGTAGTTTAGCCTTCTGTAAGTGAGATGAGCAGACATTCAGATTCCTGATCCAGTGTTCCTCCAACAGCAATGTGCCCCCTCACTTAAATTTTCAGTGCACTTAAGTATCGTTACCAACTTAAGAACAGTTCGTAAATTCATTTTAGAGGAAAAAGATTAAGAATGTAGCTGACTTTTCTTTCTGGTGATCATTGGTCTGTTATTTACTGCATCTTATCCGTCTACCCCCTCTCGCAGTTATGCCTGCTACTCCCCTTCCCACAGTCTTCACTATATAGAAATGCATGCATGTCATACAGATGGACCTCTTCAATTCCATCCCACAAATATGTATTGACTTTTTATTCGGGCAAGGCATTGAGTCACTGTCTATGGACAACAAGATAAGACTTGGTCCCTGCCCTCAAAGAGCTTACACAATAGCAGAGAAGACCATCATCTGTACTAATTGCTACAGCAGAAGGTATAATTTGACAAGACAAAGAATATACAAAGTGCTTTGAAAGCACCGAGGAGGGGCAATTAGTTCCAACATAAGAGGATCAAGAGAGATTCCTCAGTGAAAGTGATATCTGTGGCTTGACTTTTAAAGTAAGGCAGGATTTTGACATGTGGGGGAAAAGGTGGAGGAGGAAGAGAAGGAAGAAAGGACAAATTCCAGGCATGAGTGAAGGTTTGGTGGAAGAGATTTGCTAGTTTGCAGTGCTTGGTCTGCTGTGCCTCCAGTTGCCCATCAGGTTTGTAACTCTGTAATACAATCCACGAAAAAGTCATTACCTTGCCTCCAAGATACTGGCAGCATAGTGTAGTCTCATATCACTTGCTCTTGGAATGGAACCTATCCAGTTCCCCACATCTCATTCTGCCTGAGTCCAATCTACCTCAGGAAAAGTATCACTTTTCAAGAAGGGACTTAGAGGCTCAGATAACAAATCTCTCATTGGTGAGTCATGTTCTTCTTGGCAACCCAACAGCCCATGGATATTTCCTTCCCAGCCTCTTTCTTTTCCAATCATCCCTAATGGAAACATTGCCTCATGCCTTCCTTTGCCAAGCCCTCCAGCTTACCTGAAGCCCTGCTTCTGGAATTTCTTGCTCAAAATCAATTCCTATCTCCATAAACAAATCAGCCGGGCTGCTTCCTTAAGCTATTTGAGTGCTAAGCACAGAGGACAGCACTAAGTCATTGTAAGACACTGTTTTTAGCTTTTCCACACTTCCCAATTTAGAAATTAGCAATAAAAAAGATAGGGCAGACAAAGCACTTAGCAAACAGTAGATAATCAATAAATGCTTGTTGTTGCTATTATGGTCTTTCATTTACAACTTGGTTTTGGTAAATCCAACCTCAAAGCACTTGTGATTTTGCTGAACAAACAATTCACCTCGCAAATTCCTCTCCTGATGTCTTTCGGTAAGATGGGACACTGCACAATCCGTTTTTTCAAAAACTTCAGGGTTCCTGCATTAACCACATCCAAAAAAGAAATCCTCAGTGAACACCAGATGTGTCTAATTTCAAAGAAAAGGCTCTTAACCATCTCAACATTGCTCCAATGTCCTTCACCGCCACCATTTTTCAGATTTCAAATGAGAAATGAATCTTCTCCAGGTCACTTCTATAACCATGATGATTTTTATATTTAAAGAAAAAATAAACTACCCCAATTAACAACTCTTTAAAATATCCATACATGGTCTTCAGTCAAGTTTTCCTCTTGCCAACAGTTTATAAGCTCTTTAAATGAAAGAGAAATTCTTGCTACCAACCCAATAGTGAACTCTTTCACCCCTTACAGAAATCATCTGCCAGTTTACTAGAAGCCACGCTCCAGTCCTTGGAACTTATGCTGTGGAAGAATATATACTGTATAGAATTGGTGTTCATTAGAGGGAAGACCAATCTGAAACAGAGGAAATGTGCATGTTAAAGTGCAATCATGTTACTTTGAAATACATGCAGTAAAAAATTAATTAAACCACCAAAGTGCTGACAAGTTGCAATTTATAATTAGCATGCTAATTGGTTATGAATTGAGGTTTCTAAAATGCCCAACACTTGGAAGTAATTTTGTACTGGAAATAGTTTTTCTCTTTTTTGACTAATAAATCCTTGTATTGAAAACCTAGCCCTTGTTCAAATTAAGGAGAATCTCAAAACGCATAAAAATAAGAAAAATTGTTTTTTCTTTTTCATTAGAAATATGTTAATTGTGAACAAATTTGAAAATCTACACATATTTTAAAAGTGTTCTTTAGTTCTTACTTCTTTTTAAGGAAAGTCTCCACCAATATATTAATGCACTTGTGTTTTTAGTTTACATATTTTTTGTGTGTAATTGAGCTCATGTTTATAATTACTATCATAGCATTTTCCATTTAATTATATTTATTTGAAAGACTCCATGTTACTAGGTACATAATATTGTTAACGCTTATATCCAATCATTTAAGCATTCTATTATTCTACATGTGCATTATTTCCTATTTTTCACTATTGTAAATAATGCTATGAGAGCATATTTGCACATTGTTATCCGCATTCCTATTTCTCCAAGAAAGATTTTTAGAAGTAAAATTATTTAGTAAAAAGTACGTCTTTTAAAAAAAATTTTTTATTATTAGCATATTCAGTCTTACAAATCATGATATTTCTTAATGCCCTTTACCTGACCTGTCACTTCTCAAACCCCCCCCTCCCTCCCCACCACCTCTAGTATCCTGAGGTTTGTTCTCTCCTTCTGAAAGTTCAACGTATTGTTGTGGTCTTTCTTTCTTTCTTTCTTTCTTTCCTTCATTCCTTCCTTCTTCCATCCTTCCCTCCCCTACCCCCCACTTCCTTCCTTCCTAGTAGCCAGTTATGAGTGAGAACATGTGGTATTTCTGTTTCTTTGTCTGGCTTATTTTACTTAATGTGATTTTCTCCAGACTCATCCATGTTGTTGCAAATGGCAGAATTTCATTCTTTTTTATGGCTGAGTAGTATTCCTTTGTGTATATATACCACATTTTCCTTATCCAGTTGTCCATGGATGTACACTTAGGTTGTTTCCATGTTTTGGCTACTGTAAATAGAGCTGCAGTAAACATGGGAGTGCAGGTATCCCTTCAGCATGATGATTTCCATTCCTTTAGACATAATCCCAATAGTGGGATAGCTGGATCATACGATAGCTCTATCTCTTGTTTGAGAAAACTCCATACTGTTTTCCATAATGGTTATGCTAATTTACAGTACCACCAACAGTGTAAAAGAGTTCCCCTTTCCCCGCATCCTTGCCAGCATTTGTTATTCTCGGTCTTTTTAATAGTGGCCAGTCTAACTGGGGTGAGGTGATATCTCAGTGTGGTTTTGATTTGCATTTCTCTGATGACTAGTGATGCTAAGCATTTTTTCATGTACCTGTTGGCCATTTGTATGTCTTCCTTTGAAAAATGTCTATTCATCTCCTTTGCCCATTATTTAATTGGATTGTTTGGTTTTTTACTGTATAGTTGTTTGAGTTCTTTGTATATTCTGGACATTAATCCCTTGTCTGATGTATAGTTTGCAAATATTTTCGCCCATTCCATAAGTTGTCTTTCTGCTTTGTTGATTGTTTCCTTTGCTGTGCAAAAGCTTTTAAGTTTGATATAATCCCATTTATTTATTTTTTCTTTTGTTGCTTGTGCTTTTGGGGTCTTATTCATAAAATCTTTGCCCAGCCCTGTTACC